AGATGAACCTTCGGTCGATCCAAGGACACCGCGAAAAAGAAAGACACGGCATAGCAATAATCCTCCTGTTGAGCATCATGTTGGTTGGATTATGGATGTTCGAGAGCATCGACCGCGTACATATTCTACAGGGTAAATTTATATCATTTAACAACTTCAAAAAAGAAAAAATTCGAATTTAAATTTGAATTTGAATTTTATTTACATAGAAGTAGCGCTGGAACAAGTCCAAATGAAGGTTATCTTGCGAGTAGTTATGGAAGCGCACCACAATCTTTACCTACTTTTCATCATCCGAGTCATGCTCTTTTGAAGGAGAATGGTTTTACGCAGCAGGTCTATCACAAATATCATTCGCGTTGTTTAAAAGGTAAATATGAATTTTCATTTATAACTTTCATTTTCTTTTTTATGATAAACTATATATAGATTACATATAGAATTATTTAAAAATTATAGACCACAAAACGAATTATTCTTACAAATAAAGGAATTGATGTATTAGATTCTAAAATTTAATTAATTTTTAATATCATAATACATATATATATAATGATGAATTGTTTTATTTTTGTCTTCTTTTCCCGACTGAGGAATAATTATGAAGAGAAAAGAGGATCTGAAAAAATATTGTAATACATATAGAATATAATTAATTTAAGAATATAAATTTTAATCATATTTATATTATTTCAGAACGCAAGAGACTTGGAATCGGCCAATCTCAAGAAATGAATACTCTTTTCCGTTTTTGGTCTTTCTTCTTAAGAGAGAATTTCAATCGTACTATGTATGAAGAATTCAGGACTGTAGCCAAAGAAGATGCTTCAGAGGGTTATCGATATGGTTTGGAATGTCTTTTTAGATTTTATAGTTATGGTTTGGAAAAAAGATTTAGACATGATCTTTATAAAGATTTTCAAGTGGAAACAATACAAGATTACGAAAGTGGTTAGTAAATTTCTTTGTTTAAGATTAAATTTAATGCACACATAGGTTGTTTAACTATTTAATTTCCTTAATAGTTAAACGGTAAAATTGTGCTATAACAAATGAAATGTTCAGTTGATACCACGAGAATGATTTGTCTCGTGTGTGGTATTTATCATAGCAACAAATATTTATTTAGTAATAGTAACGTGTCACGAATAGTCAAATAATCGGTTTTAAAATTTGTTTCGTCTTCTACATAGAATATTGATATGAATATATGAATATGAATACATTTAGTGTTAATATAATAAAATAGTTATTCAATATTATAACTTTCATTATTCACTTATTAGTATTATTCAATAATATAAGTTAGTAAGTATTCAATATTAAGATTTTATATTGTATTTTAGGTCAACTATATGGCTTAGAAAAATTCTGGGCGTTCTTAAAGTATTATAAACATTCTGATCAACTTCAGGTAGATCCTAAATTACAGGAGTATTTATCCAAATTCAAGAGCATTGAAGACTTTAGAGTAGTTGAGGTAATAATTCATTTCAGTAATAAAATATAAATTATATATTTTATGTACATTATAACAACATTATCGTAATTCGATCAAGTTAAAATTTAATTGAAAGAAAAAAATGTTTATTTTGTTCACGTGTAATTATATATAAAATAAAAATAAAATTAAAATATCATGAATTCAGCATAAGTAATATTTGAGATAGAATATAAAAAATGAGATACAAATTAATATAATTCAATATTTTCAAAAAAAAATTATAAGAAAAACTATGTTCAAAGTTTATATTGTAAGCATTATCATTGTATGTTGTAAATGTATACTATATTTGCTTTATTTTTACAGCCTCAAATAAATGAAATGCTACAAGCATTTGCTGCAAATTCACGATCTCAGGCTGCGAAAAGACGAAACAGAAGTGTGTCCGAAAGTGCAGGTGATGGTGATATTTCGTCTACCAATAGAGTTCGTCGATTATCTGGTGGTTCCAGTACCGTAACACTGCCAATCTCGAGTTCTGAAAACAATCCTATTGCGCAAAAATCTCGGGTGGAATCAGTGAATCTTTCACAATTTCGTAACAGAGCTGGTTCGTTCGGATCTGGTCGATTGGGCCATTCCAGAAGACGGAACGATACTGCTTCCTCTTCCTCGAATAGTCAACGAGATTTAAATAAACAACAATCACGAAGCAGACAAAATTCTGGCTCTTGTACAAAGCCTCAGGAAGTGAACAGCAAATCTCAAAATACTGCTAGAGATCGTTTACAGATGACTTCGAAATTCGAGCAGATGAAGTCGGTTACAATCAAGACGGATAGTACGTCAATTTCTCAAAAATGAGATCAGCTTGAAAACCGAAGGGTAAGTGCATAAGCACTTACTCGATTTGCTAAAATGAATAAGTGCGTTGTTCCTGGGATAGGAATAATACTTGTTCTAAGAAAAGGGAATATTTCGTTTGAAAACTAATACAGAAAGTCACAGTGTTCTAGAATGTGTAAAAGAATAAGCACAAAATTCTGTATATAAAAAGATGAACTGATCAGCGCAATTTTAACTTTGTTGAAGATCGTTAGGGAAGAATAATGAAACTGTGACACTATAAGCGAAGGTGGGAAGTCTCCTTCGTCTCTAAGAGAGGTTCATCGAGCTGTTTTTAAGGTAGTTCGTTAAGGTTGTATTTACGAATATACATATATTCAATTATTCTTGCTTATATCAGGAATATATTAAACTCAGATTAAACTCTGCTCAGTTCATCCGTTAGGATACTTGCTAAAATTGTAGCAGCAAAGAAAAAAGGCCATCCAGATTGAATGAGCACATCTGGAGAATCCAGACACGATATATTTCATAATATCAATGAATTCGTATATTCACATATTCATTGAAAACATTTATTCAAATGAATTTTTCCATTTGGAAAGAAAAAAGAAGTTATAGGTTTTTGAAGTGTACAATGTATACATTTATGACGACATTATTATCGTTATTTGAAAAAGTTGAAATCGAGAAAATGTTCTCTCTTATTTTATCATTGCTCGAGTTATTATTATGTCTTCATTCATAGAAGAATCATTTATAGATAAACTATATGATATAATGATAAAATGATATAAAATTAAAACTTCAATTTAAAGGATAATAAGAAATAATCATCAGTTTCAAATTTGTTCATTCTATCTTCAATTCTTAAATTCAATAAGAAATTAATGCATATTGAATCTCAAAATCTGATACTTGGATTATGAATTATGGACAAGACATGTTTGTTATGAATACAGGACATGTTTCTTCGTTCTTTATTAATAGAAGAAACTAATTTGATTTCAAATTAATATGAATAATCAGCGAATATTTTTGATTCATTTGTTTATTTCATTATAAGTTATTATTTTTAACATAATATAATTTGTCTCGTTAAAAGTAATTTCTTTAAAAATGAATTGTATATCGTTTTCACCATCGATATTTATTAAAAATTTGACTTTTGAATCGCATTCGTATCGATTGCAAGACACTGAGAATATAAAATTATAAAATTTTTAAAATATTTTTTTGTTCTTTTAATTTGATAAGAACATCACATACCTATATTTTATTACTTATGATTCTAAATATTGAGAATTATCTCTCTAACTTTTTTTATAATTTACCAAGTGTTTAATTATATAAAAAGCTTAGCTTAATATAGGTAAATAGTTTTTTGACAAATTATGTTACATGTTTGATCATCTAGTAATATTAATTGAAATTTAAATAATTTCGACGCTTAATAGATTAAATCAAGTGTTGAATCAATTAAAAATTTCTTAAAGTAATTTCATATGAATTAAATTGAAAACAAAAATGTAATTATTACCATTGTAAATGTCATATGAACATATGAAGGATATTCAATTCGTAGCCGATGCATAATGGACAATATTATATTTTATGTACAGAAATTTATAAAGGTTGTTCCTTAATAACATATATGTATGTCTATTAATTTTCAATTTATCTCAATGTTATAGAGAATGTTTGAAGAATTATGGAGAAAATAGTAATAGTAAAAAAAATAACGACATCACTATGAAGATGGACATTTATTTGTTTCTTTTATATATATCATATCAAATATTATCCAATGATATGATACAGTGTAACTTTCTATCCGTATCATTAGTATATATTCGTATCAAAACAGACAACTTATCCATACGCGGAGTAAAATGTAGATATTCACAAAAAATAAAAAAGCAACAGATAATGAAATGCTGTCCGTCCAAATAGGTTCAGCTATATAGATATTTCTGTTGTAATGGCAAAAAATTCAGAAATGATCAATCTATGCCCATACTTTTGTAACAAATTTTCATATGCATGGTGAAACGCATGCCCGTCCATATTAATGTAATGGTCATACGATATAGAAATACAATAATAAAAGAAACAAATGAATGCACATTTTTATAGTAAAAATTCTTTAGTTAATTCTAAACATAAATTATTTTATCTTATTTTATTTTCATTATCAAGAAGATTCAATTTTATTAATCAAATATTCTAATTGCTACTCTTTTTATATTAATTTCTATAGTAAAAATTTTTTTTATGTTTTTAATGAATTTCATTTATTAATTATATTTGCTCTATGGTTCAATTTCTTTAATATTTATAATATCTTTTTATAAATTTAGAAAATGTAGCAATTAAAAGATTCATTTATAAATATTCATCATACTTTTCATTTTATTACCAAAAACAGAAATAAAGCGAAATTACTATCTATTTCTGTTTTTTTTAACGCTTTAACATTCCTGACAAATTAATTTTTTATGATTAATTGACTATCTTTTTTGATCTAAAATTAATAATTAATCATCAAATATTATGATTGCTTAAAAAAATATTTAAAAAATAGATTCTTGTCGACCAAAGAAAAATAATTTTCTTCAAACAAAACTCTTAATGAAACTATATAAAATTCTATTGAATATTAAATATAAAAAATTAGCCAGATAATCAGAAAAAAAAATGTTAAGGACAGATAAAGAAAATAGAATATATTATTAAATTTTAAATTTAATAATAAGAAAAGTATATTTGTTAGTACATATATTTTGCCAATTTTGGCACGTGACTCGTGATTTTTTGTTTCATGGTGATTAAAAATCGTTCGCTGATTCTCCGCATGGTGCTCTCTATTCCGTATGGCTAATTCTGTTATTGTGACGATGAGATTTTCTCTCAGTAATCGAATATCTAATTTATTTCAACTTTGGTGAGTAGTTTGCTCGCATATTCCACTCGGTATTTCTCACTATGTTATGCTCGCTATAATAAACTTAATGACTAAAGTACTAACTCTATTTGTAGAAATGTATACAGTTTTGACTAATGTGCATGATACTAAACTTATTCATTAATTGATTCTTCCCAATTAATTTTCTCAAACACATAAAATTTTTTTTCTTGACAATCCGATTAATTTTTATAACTGAGAAACTTATAATATAAAGTGACGATATGAGCATGAGACAAATCTGTAAGAAGCTTAATTTTTTCATTAATTTCGAAATATGGGCAAGATTAATATTTTTACTCATTTAAAGAATATATAATTCTTTCGCTAGAACATCCAAAAACAATGTTGCTGATAACATATTTTTGTTTTTATTTTTTACACACGTCTCAACATGACCTTCTTATTTAATAGTAAAAAAACAATTGTCAAATCATATATTAATACGGCATGCTTATATATTACATAAGATGGTAATATTTGCATATATTTATCGAAATAAGGACAAATCTATGGCAGTGTTTTTGGAGCAAAAAAATCATTCTATATTCAAGGTGCAAATTGTAAGAGAATAATTTATTGCTTTTGAATTTAACGTGTCTATCATTATATTTATATTATTTAATTTGAATATCCAAATATATAAATGTTGCGTTAGTTGACCATCATTATTTATATTAGAGTGGATTAATATTATATTTTTAATATTATATTTTTTCAATTTCTTCTCAAATTTATATTTCATTGAAAAAAAAACATACTCAGAATTTTTTAATTTAACTCTATTTTGATATCGATCATAAAACTCTGAATTGTGATCAGCTAATGCGATTATATAAATAGGCCTATATGAATATATAGATAAACTTTCTTTTGAGGCCTCTGAAGATTCAGAATCGAGAATCGAGAAAATCGATATTGGAAATTTCTCGAGTACATGTGCACTTAACTCCCGACTGAATAGTGATATAATATAACTGGGCAGGGATATATTCTACAAGTAGAATGTATGTAAAATAATTTTTTTTTATTTTAGATTTTGTTTCCAAAAAAATCAATTTTGAAAATTTGTCGAATATACGTATTTTTAGTCCTGACTGAATAAATATAATATAATCTACTAAAAAATTATTTAACAAAAAAAATAAATTAAAATAAAAATATAGAATGAAATTTTTTCTTTTGATGCTTTGATGTCCTTTTTAAAAAAATCAAATTTTAAATAGGAGTAGTTGATAATTGCATTCATTATATTATGCTAACGTACACATTTATTCGTCAAATATTCAAATCTGATTTTCATGAAAATGAATTTTTTAATGAAAGAATGTTGTGTCTTTTCTTTTAAAAATCTTTTTAATCATCGCCGTTTATATTAATCACCACTTATTCTGGTATATATTCTGTATAGGGTATAGTATATATTGTATAAAATGTTAGGCGCTTAATAGGATACATAGAAATTACAATTAAGCACTTATAATAACGTGTTAGTTAAATTAAGTAAAAAAATTTTAAAGATAAAAAAAATTGGTTGAATTTTGGTATCTATTAAATCAAATTCCAATACATAATATTAATAAAGCATAGTCAAACTAATTATATTATTTAAGAGCATAAATTTGATCATTTATAAAAAATAATATTTATAAATACAAACGGGTAACATTCTACTAATATTTACTGCTTTGATTCCTTGTCAAATTTTTGGTTTATAGAGAAAGAATTAAAAAGTCGATATTGAATTTCCATACAAGTGCCTGGAAACTCTGTAAATCCGTTCTTGTCTTTTAATGTACTAGTCACGCACTGAGTCAACGTAATCGTGAACATTGCAAAAATAATGAACAAGATGTAAAAAAAAAAATTTTTTTTTTTTTTTTTATCTTATTTTTTATATGATAATAGTTATGGTACAATTTTATATTTGTAAAATTGTAATAATTGAGGAAAAACTGTATCACAAAACAATTGTTTAAATCTTTTGTAGCAAAACTAATGTATTGTTGGCAAATATTCCTTCCTATTATTCGTGCCTTGCACACAAAATCGAGTAATCTTCCTTTATAGTATCTCTATCTTATGAATTCACCATTTTTTAAATGAATGTCTATTATAATATTTATACTTGAATATTTTTTTTATTCTCAAAGGATTCATTAAGAAGATATCTTTCTAAAGTTTTTCTGCATATTCATAAGAATTCATGAATTCATCCAAGAGTTATATTTTTGTATATTTAACACCTTATTCTTTTTGTTTTGTTTTATTTTGTTATCGTTTTTCTTCTACGTTTTTTAACACAGATTTAGAACATTTCTATTGTTATTTCATATAAATTACTCCCCAGATTAATAACTTATATAATTAACATAAATACAGTATTTGTCGAACCAAAATAATTTGGCAATTTATGCTAAATTAGAATAAGGCGAATTGTCATTAGGATACTTTGAGAGGGAGTGAGATGAAAATGCGACAGAAATAGGTATACATTGATTGGTATATTGATTCGAGAAATATTATATAATGAAAAAATTCAAGAAATTACAATCATATCAGATAATATAACAATGAAGTAATTTATTTTTATTAAAACTATAGATATAATCTTTTATCAATAATAATGCGAGATATAATATGAAATATAATATTCTTTGCATGTTTTCTTCCTCTCATCGTTTCCTTTTGATTCTTTGTCATATCTAAATTTCAAAAAAAAATTAAATCTCAATTGATTTGTTATAATTTGCTAAATTATTTATAATTTATTTTACATTTTGATGGTATTTATCTTTACATTTTGATTATAAATCAATGAACTTCAATTTAATCATTGGGAATATATTTAAATGAATATTTATTAACTTTTTAATTCAATTATAATTAGAAATATATATATAATTGTACAAGTTATATAATTAGATGTGCGTTGATTTTTTGAAAATCTTGACCTCATACTAATTACAAAACAAAAACGTGCGTTGCTCGTCTTTGGAGAGCGGTGATCATTTTAGAGTTCCTATGTCCGTTCGAATTAACATCACAATACATGCTATGAATATATTGGAAACATATTAAAGCGCCTGAGAGGTTATGTTATTCCTTTTAAAAGAATTGCATTGATTACACCAGATACAAAATATCTTTCAGAAATTTTTTAAAGAAAATGTTAAAAATAACTGTAAAATTTTTTTATATTTATTAAAAGACAGGATTTATAATGCAAAAAAATATTTGTTTACGATTATATACATATTATAGACATTCTTGGAAAAGCTCGATTTATATCTCTTTATTTTTATTATTATTATTATTATTATTATCATCATCATCATCATCATCATCATCATCATCATTATTATTATTATTATTTTTATTTTTATTTTTATTTTTATGGCGTTTAGTCAGTATTTAATTCTCGCCCAGTTTATTTTGAGCCGATTTTCTATAATTCGTACTTAATTAATAAAGTATAAAAATCAAGATATATTTTAAAAATTTCAGAATTCATTTATAAATGATACCATTTATAAAAAATTTTATTTTAATTACATTTATATTTTACCTTATGAAAATTGTGTATTAAAAAAGAATTCGGTAGCATTATAATTTTTGCGATGATCTAAGTATTAATGTAGGCATAGACTCAAATCGTTAGCTATTAATATAAATATAAAATAAAAATTGCGATGATATAATTTATATTATGTCAATGTATCTCATCAAAAATTTACAAATAATGATTTAGAGAGCATCACATAAGTGGAGTCAAAAAGAGCGAGCAAAATATAGGCGGTATATATAACGTAACGTGGTTATAAAATCAATTAGACATTCAAATTAATAATTCCAGAGTCGAAACAGGGAGAGATAAGTAATTTGATTTCTTTAAAATTAAACAAAATTATACAATCTTAGAATTGTTTTTTGTAATATAATCAGAAAAAATTTGGTACAGCATACGATTTGCAAATTAAAAAATATTCTAAAAATACTATATTTAGCAAATATTTTTTTTTTTTTTTCTGAAAAATCATTATTTGTATTTTATTAATGAATGAACAATTTACATAAAAATTTGTATACATAAATAATCAAATTATAAATTATCAATATTAATAACATATACAAGAAGCAATTCAAGATGTAGAATGACTTAATTTATGAATGAATGTTATGAAGAGTATGTTTATATTCTTAAATATGGGCAATATCTATTACAGACATATACAATTTTGCCGATAGAATTTTTTGATATCATGATATTTTTTGTATTGTTATGTTCACAATACGTGTTATATTTATTAATTTTTCTACATCTATAACTTTTATTTTTGTTTCCAATGAAAAGATTTAACAAATAGATTTTAATCATGAATTTAAAAAGTGAAATAATTTATTAACGGAAAATTTAATAATTAAATCTTATTTCTTATTTTATTTAAATTACTGATAACTTACTAAATTAAATTTTCGAAAGTTAAATATTTTATTCATATTTCTTCAATTAGAGAAAAAGTTTGTATTCCTTTTTAAAATTGAAACATTAATGTAATATTAACAATTTTTGATAATAATTTTTAGTTAATATCCATTTTGTTTCGAATGTTTGTTACAGTTTTAAGTTTATTCATTTCATGATAAATTTCGTAACGTGAAAAATCATTTGACATCACTGTCGAGATCATAAGATATAAGATATTTGATAAAAAATTCATAATAATAATGAGAAAAAGAAACCAAAAGAAAACAAAAATAAAAAATAATAAAAAACAGTAAATACAACAATCTCGAACGAATAAAAATCGGTTTGCATAAAGAGAGGAATTAAGAATAAAATTGAATAATAGAAAAAATTGGTGTCAGAAAAAGAAAAATGTACACGAAGAAAGATAAACGAAGTTTATCAAATGGCAAATATCTTGCGTACGTAGAACGTGTTCATGGTTTCTATTTTGCCATTTCATACAAAATGGTTTTAGAATTAAACTAAAATTAGGTTTTAAGCGAGTGATTCAATTTTAATTGAAAAAATAAAAAAAATAAAAAAAATAAAAAAAAAACGTATCGCTACAAGAAAAAAGAAAATCATGATAAATTTAATCGAACTTTAAGGTTAGGGGTAACGATAATTATTGCTAAGATTCGATTGTCGTTCTTGTTGAATTTCATTCCTCTGTCGTAATTATACATTTAAGTAACTTGATATAAAACATTTGTTATTTTGATGTTAAGTAATATTTATATCATGAATATTTTTTTTTTGTTATTGTTATTTTGTTGTTTTAATATTTAAGCATGATTTGTTGATGAAGGAAATTGTGTATATATACTCGACTGTAATTTTAATTTGTTGTAACATAGTTATAAAAAAATGATCATGATATTCATTTCATTACATATACGACAATTTGAGATGATATTTTTCTAATTCTTTATCAAATTTTAATCATATTTGAAAGATGACTTTACATAATTTTTTAATATTAATTTGTTTAATTTCTCGTAATTTGAATTTTTTCGTAATTTTATTCGTTTCTCGATGAAGAAATTACAATTGCTTAATAATAATTGTTATAAATAGAATGTTTGGTTAAGATCGGTACGATTATATCGCTAAGAGATATAAATACACTTGTAGAAGAATATATTCAAGACACAAGCCATTAAAGTTCATGATTCAGAACGATTAGTCTTTCCTTCAATGTATATTCATGGAAGTTATGGAAGCATATTTTCTTTACATATAACGTTCAATAACTCGAAAATGGCATTAACATGTAATAAGAGAATAATATTCACTAATATTTTTTTATACATATAAAAATCATATTATAACCATATTATAATTTTATTCTATTCTATTTTTTTTTTATTGTTATTTATGATTAATTTCTAAAAAGAAATTGAGCATAAAAAAACTTCATAGTAGATAAAAATAAAATACGACAGAGGATTAAATTAAAAAATAAATTAATTTCTTGAATCATTGCAAAAGGAAAGAATATTTTTTTTTGTTAACATGAACGACGATCTTATAGAATATTGTAAATAATTTTTACAGGAAGTCCTTAGATCCGTGTCCCAGCAGATATTCTGTAAAGGGTTCAAAGAAAAAAAATGCACTATATTTATTGCAAATTTTTATGTTGTTACTTATATGTATACACATATATTCCATATATAAAATATATAGAATATTCTATATATAAAATATATGTGTATATTGCTGATAAAAAAAAAAAAATAATTCTACAATAAGATTTATGCTAAACTATACAGATTACATATAAATTCAAGTCAGAAAGAATGTTGAGATTGAAAAAAAAGAAAATTGTTTTATAAAACGTACCTTTTATTTTATGCC